CTCACGTGCTTAAGCCTTAACGAACGATATTTATAACCCTTCACATTTACTATTGGAGCTAAATCGAATCGCTTCTCCGCAATTGCTCTCCCAACAATAGTAACAGTATAACAGTTTCTTCCTATACATAACATAGATCATTAACAATTTCCTGGGAAAAAAGAATTGCTAAACGATTTTCAATGATATCTATCATACTGACATATCTGCATATGGAATATCGTAATGACAGAAAAATCTTATAACGTTCAATACATGAATATGCATTTATATGTATTGCGAAAGACGTTCACATCACTTAAATAAAGCATCATGCACACTGACAACGATAATCGCCATAATTTCAGTAAATTAATCTCACCAAAAATAGTTACGACCGATTTACAAAAAACCAATCAAATTAGCAAAAATAAATCAAAAAATAAATCAAAAAATATAATTTACCAACAACCAATCAGATCAGAAAAAATGTACGAACTCTGAATTAGGTTATATATATATATAGATATAATAGTGGGTGTAATTAAAATAAGCCATTTTTTTATATTTATATTAAATAGTCTGCAAGTATAGTCTAAAATATGTCAAAAAATTTTTACTACTCCTTAAGTTATTCTATAAGATTATAGATTATCTGCCATTCCTCATTAAGTCGCTTATTTAGATTATAAAATTTACCAGTAAGTTATAAAATGATTTGATAATCAAAGTATTCGAAAACAGTATACTGTATGTACTTCTTATTAGTCTATTGTCCGTACTGAATATACCGCGAGTATAATGTGATCTAAGCCACGCTTTATTTGGTCAATTCTAGTTGCAACCAGTAGGGACAAAATCGATTTACAAAATCATCCAAAATTACAGGTACGTATCGGTATGTGCTAAACTATTTTAAGTAAATGATGAAAAAAAGGCGAAAAAAAAACGAGTTAGTTGTAATGGGTTGTAAATAAAAGTAAAAAAAAAAATTCTTTGAAATGTCTAAGTTGTCTAAGTTGTCCAATGTGCTAGTCTTATATGCAATATTCACATATGGTACATAGGGCTGTGATAAATAAATCAAACGATTATTAACCTAACGGTAAGTTATTTTAAATTTGCAATACCAATTTAGAATTCGGCTTTGGAAAAAAATTTTTTTTCACTAATAAAGATAATATTCATATTATAAAATTTGTTCGATATGTATATACGTACGTACGTGTATAAGTAAAATCTGTACGGTACTGTATGTACAGTACGCACGTCCTTTTAGAAAGAATTGACGAATATAGAAGTATCATAACACAACAAAATCAACTTGTCATATAACCATGCACTCCGTACCTGTTATAGCAAAATTAGCGTCCGAATAATTTTTATTGAGCGCGGGAATTACTAGATTATTAGCAAAATTTATCAATCCTGATTATTCCGTCCGGGATAAGTCAATCTGCTGAATTTTGGTTGCACGACCAATCTATTCATATTTACGATGTATCAAATTACCTTAAGCGCGGATATTTGGACGTGCATAGCTACTAGTTTTTAAAAAGTACTGTAAACCATATAATTTAGTTACCCAGGCAATTGATCTACACTAGCGAATCAAACAAATTTCTTCCTTTGAGATTGTTGGTAAATAATACTGATCCGATTCTATTTGGACCAAATTCAGTGTTGAAAATTCGTTGTGCATGTATTATTTTTTGCAAATACTGTGCAGTAGGCACAAAATTAATTAGCATTCCTGTATAAAAAAATTTTTTTGCACTACATATTTGTACCGAATTTTCAACATTGGTCCAATTTTACCGATTAGCCATATAAAAACTCGTATAGTAGTGTATAGATTTACAATCTCATTAACCAATCAAAACCACGAAATTTTTGCTCTAAACGCATATATACACGAATAATACACTAATATGCGAGAGTTGTCCAACGTGCAGAACTCTAATTTTTTAATATATACTGTATACGTGGTAGATTTCCAAAATTATTCTATATTAATATTATCAAATGGGTCTCGATCAATTTCCCGACAATCACTTACCGACAAACAAAATCCCGATAAAAATCTAACCCTAACTCTAACCAGAGGCCCGTAAAATTTTTGATATAAAATTTTCATAAAAAATTTAAAATACCAAGTATCAACATAAATTTTCTAATATTTTTTAATTCTAAGGAATTTATATCTAAAATTATCAATTTTAACTAAAATTTTCATATTATATTATAGTTGTGATACATAAGAATGAGATGCTGCGCAGGTGGAACATTTCGAAATTTCACAATTCTGCACTAGCAGTAAACTATAATGTAGGCCGTAGTATATTCAAAAAATAATTGATTTGCTTATCCCTAGTGATACGATTTTATTTTTAATAAAAGTTTTATACAAACTTAACTTATTTAACTTCTAAGACATACAGTATATGATTAGTTTGTATTGGATATTGATGCCGTGATCTAGTGACATGAATTTATGTGACTTAGTGCGATTTGATTCCTAATTTTATATTTAATAGCAATTGGCAAAATTTAAAGACTGAATTGTTAAGTATTTTAACAAAATAAACCCAAAATTTTACTGGTCCCTGACTCTAACCTACCTGTCGGATTTTGACATTCTCGAGTAAGTGGTTGTCAAGCAATCTTGAAACACTATTAAACAAACACAGGTTGAATCAATGAATATCAGGTACATACCGGGAGACAAGTTTCCTGATATGTACGTATGTACCCAATAGTCTGCAGCATATCGGGTTAGTAAGATACTGGAGGTAGATCGATATCGCACATTATTGGAATCACTCTGGGCTAGAGTGAATTACAGTACATATAAATAAACTGTAGTTTATTTTAAATCTATAGTTTTACAATAAACTACAGTTTATTTATATTAACTAATAGTTTACGAATCGCACCTCTACTCTGGGCCTAAGAGTAAGATATCGAGATATCCCAATATTGTGCTGCCGATATCGATCTACCTCCAATACCTTATCAATATGCACCCAATATGCTGATGATATATAGCGGGTACATATTAGGAAACTTGTCTCCCGGTATGTACCCGATATTCATTGATTCAAGCGAGAGAAAAATTTTACCCATAATTTTGTTTTAATCTTATTTCATTTTAGAAACAAAATGCACCAAGTTAGATTTAAATTCAGGCTGTACAAATAAACTTTTTAACATCCTTATCAAGTATTATTTAAATGTATTGAATTAAATATAATATTAATAAATGATGATATATTAAATATATGAATTATAAGACGCGAATTTGGCATGATTTAACATGGAGACTGTATGTAGTATAGTATGCATAAAATTTTTCTGATGAAAATTCTTATAAAAAGGTAATGAGTGAAGCCAATTTTAATAATTAAAAAATAAATTACCTCAGCTAAATATCCTAAATATCATATAACTTATAAAAATTAATAATGAATAGAAATTTAATTTTTACATTTATTTTATTGATTGCACTTTCCGTTACCAATGCTATTCCGCTTGAGAAAAGATCCACCGATTTTACTTTTGGATGTGTTGACGGTTTTAGAAACCCTATAGATGCAATCAATGCAAGCGTTTCTCCTGATCCAGTGATTTCTGGAAAAAATGTTACTTTCAGTGTTTCTGGAACACTAAGTCATAAAATTAATAAAAATGGACGGATTTTAATTAGCTTTTTTGATGCTTCATTAGTCCTCATAGAAGGTCATGGCGCTCAAGCTCCTAAAACTAAAGCTAAACGTCAATTTCAAGCAAATACCACATTTAAGGCGCCAAATGATTTACCAAGCCAATACTCCATTCAAGTTTTAGTTGCGAATCCAAGTAATCCGCCCAACAAAGAGAAAGATATTATAGGTTGTAGAATCGCAGATGCTAGCTCCTTCTAATACTGTAATAAAAATTTAATTGATAATGCCTTATTGAACTAATATATTAAAGTTAAAAAACTTAGACTTTTCCTTATATTAATTAAGTATTAATTCGGTAATAACAGTAATTCTGTATTTATTTAATATATTAGTCAAGTATAATTTTGTAACAACCAAGGCTCTTTTTCACTTTTTTTTCTCTAATAATAGATTATTATTATAGCTTATACCCTTCTGTAAAAAGCAGGCAAATTCATTATTTATTAGATAATATCGCACTTTAGAATGGTTATACTAGCCTATTCTATGTTTACATCATCATGATCTAAAATTATAATAGCTTGTTTTTTTTATATAATGTTATTAAATAAATAAAATAAAAAATTGTATTACAGTAATTTATATTTGTTTAATATATTAATTAAGCATTAATATGATTCTTTATCTATTTAATATATGAATTAAATTAAATATTAAATTTGTTAATATCAAACGTTGCCTCTGAATTTAGATACAATGTAGATTTATAAAAAAAGCTTTTATTATTAGCTGAGATATGGAATAGTTTGTCTAACCCTAAATAAATTTCAGAATTTTTAGAATTTTTGTTCAACATCATTTCACAATTTAGGTCAATTTTGAATTGACCTACATCATTATTCTTAACTGATTTAGAAATAACTTGGGTAAGTTTAATGCAATACTACGAATCTTAAGCGCTGGATGTGACCAATCATTGGGCGTGGCAAATAAACACCGGCTAATTTATATGGGCTTGGTGCTGCAAAAAGGGACCAAATTGACAAAACAAAAGATCATCGGAAAATCAATTTTTATGTTATAA